TAGCACTCTACCACTAGAGCCACAGCGCCACTTCCAGCTTTTTCCCGTTTCTGTGGTACTGAGGAATTGAACCCAGGGCTTCATGCATGCTAGACAAGCACTCTACCACTAAACCACCTTCCCAGCCCAAGACTCATTTTTATTGAGGACCAGGTCCAGTCCAGCCCTGAGTCCACCCATCTTGAGACCACTCTGAGCCCTGGCCCTACAGATACTTAGAAGCTGGGGTTCCAGGAATCTGAGGCCCAGGGCCCAGTGCAGGCATCCCACAGCAAAAGCACTAGTAGGCTACCTCCAGGAATAAATGCTGAGCACAGTGCAGGGAAGGGAGGGGACACACACACACACTTGGCCCGGTGGCCAGCAATGCTAGGCCAGTGGCTTCATGTGCAAGGTCTGCCCAGGCTGGCCAAGAGCAACTGCCAGGTGCTCTGCAGTGTAGGCAGCGGGGCCAGGCCAGGCCAGGCCCACCAGCCAACTCCCAGCTGGCACTGTGCTCCCCACTGGGCACGGAGGGCCAGCTGGTGGCAGTCACTGGGTTGTATATGCCTACGCCTGGGTCTTCCACCAACATCCAGGAGGGAGAGAAGGTGCTGGGCAGGCACAGCAGCCCTCCATACACACGTCTTTCACCCAGGCTGGCAGGTTCACTGAAAGGCTGCATCCTTCAGAGCTCCCAGGCCTCGTCCCACAACCCCTGCATCTAGCACTGGGTTCACTAAGGGCAGCAGCAGAAGCAAAGGAAGGAGGCGGCCATGGGCACGCTGTGGCTGGGGTCATGGTGACACCTCCATCTCACCTGTCCTGCCGGGCTTTCAGTGGTGGTCTCCTCCCACCTCCCCACCACCACTGCCCTAGTAAGCAGAGTGCCAGCCCCTGTGGGGAGGGGCCTTGCCTGCCCAAAGGGCAGAGTAGCAGGGTCGCATGGGTTTCTGGCTTTCCCGTTCATTCTGAGATTGAGGTACTTCTGAGACTCTAACTGCTTTGCTATCCATGATCCTAAAATTCCTATCACACCCTGTCTAGAATCCTGTAAGTCTCCCCTGTTTAGGGATTATTATAATAGCCTAAAATTTTGCTGGCCATAGATGGCTCATGCCACTTGTCAGGAGGTTGAAATTTGAGGATCAAGGTTCAAAGCTAGCCTGGGCAGGAAAATCTGTGAGACTTTTTATCTTCAATTAACTACAAAAAAAAAAAAAGTTCAGGAATAGAGCTGTTGTGCAAAGTGGTTAAGCATTAGCATTGAGCACAAGCTCAAGGACAGTGCTCAGGCTCTGAGTTCAAGCCCCAGAATCAAGACATACACACATATACAAAAACCTCAGGGATTCTCTGCACCTGGGGTGGGTTGCACCCAACTTTTAGAGAGGTCTGGAGGGGTCTCCAAGAGTCTTTCCCAACCTTGAGTGTAAATGCCAGCTCTGTTGGCACATTTAGACCTGTCCTATCAGATTTCCCCTAGGTGTTTCCCTTGCCCTCAGATTCCAGAAAGACCATTCTCCCTAACCCACCACAGACTCCCTCTGCCCTCACTAGCATAACTGCCAGTAGCAGTCTCCTGGTTGCTTTGGCCCATTGCCCTCCCCCCTCAGGTGCTAGCCGCTCTACTTCCAGCACCCCGGGTACTCAGGCCCCTGCCATGTGCTGGCATTCAACAACTGTTAACCTTCTTCGTAACAAGTCACTCAGTAATTCTCCTGCCCTCGGTCCATGCTTTACACTTCAGGCCATAATAAACACAAAATAAATGTGTGGGGCTGGGAAGGTGGCTCAGTGGTAGAGCGCTTGCCTTGCATGCCTGAGGCCCTGGGTTCGATTCCTCAGCACCACATAAGCAAAAAGAAAAAAGCCAGAAGTGGCGCTGTGGCTCAAGTGGTAGAGCGCTAGCCTTGAGCTGAAGAGCTGAGGAACAGCACCCAGGCCCAGAGTTCAGGCCCCAGGACTGGACCCTAAATAACTAAATAAATAAAAATAATAAATGTGTAAGTCAATGTCCTGGTTCTAGAACTTCGGCTGGCTCCTCTGCTGCCTTCAGGCTAACATGAAACTCAAGGGAGGTTATAAAACACCTAGCTTCCAGCAGATGAAGCCCCTGGAACAAGCCCAAGGGAGAAAATGCGTCTGTGGGGATTCAAAAGAACTTGAAGCATGGAGAAGCTATGTGGAGTCTGCCAGAAAGGAGACTGGTCTCTGGTCTCAAGCCTAGGAAATCCCCTTCAGCTTCAATCAGCCCTACTTTGCGCAGAGAGAGGAGAGGATGGCGGTTTTAGTGGTTGGGAGGGCCACAGGCGGTGAGAGTGCCCGGAATGGGCTGGACCCTGGGCATGGAGGGGTTAACTACAAAAGCAATTTCAGAGAGCGAGATCAATGGGTTACCTACTGCCAGTGAGAAAGAGAGAATGAGGCAGCGGTGACAGCGCAGAGGCAGAGGCAGCAGCGAGGGGCTGGCAGAAGAGCATGCCACTCCGGGGAAATCAAGGCCGAGGAGGAGGTGGCCAGTGGCTACTCCGGAAGGAATGGCCAAGTCCAGCGCAGCAGACAGCTGGGGGCAGGGCAGAGGAGGGGAGGGGCCTTAGAGGCAAAGGAAAGAGGGGGGATGAAAGAGGCAGACCTGTACCTGCGGGCAAGCAGAAGCACCACCGAGGGGCAGCGGCTGAGCCTGGAGGAAGCCCCAGCCTGGCCGCTCCAGCCAGGCCCCAGCAGGAGCCCAGTGCCCAGGGCTGAGGTGAGCATTGCCTGTCCTGGGCGGGGGGCACCCTACTACATGCTGGGTGCTGGGGTAGCAGGAGACATTGCCTTTCTTCTCTTTTCCCTGACTCCCTACACCTGCTCCCAATTTGTCCACCGCCCTAGGGGGCCATGCACTCGAGGACACATGGGGCTGTGGGGTGGGGGCGGGGGTGAGGGCGGACACACGCACACGTGCGCACGCGCCCAGGTTGTCAGGAGCCACCACCTGCAAGTCTGCCAGCAAGATACCAGCTTGGCAACTACTCTAGATCTGCCATCTAGGTGTGATGGTCGCCACCCACACATGTCCCCTCTCTGGGCCTCAGTTCCCCCCTTCATGGGGATCTCAGGCCACTGGCCTATGTGATGGCTTAGGGATGTCATCTGGGTTTTACTGAAGCAACAGCTTGTTGCCACAGGAAGTCCTCGCATCCCCGGGGCTCCCTTGGGTTTCAGAGGCCTGTTGAGAAGGAAAATACACCAGTTCCTGGGGCTGGCACTGCCCCTCCCCCAACGCCACATCTTCACCCGATTCTGTGTCTCCACCTGCCTCCTGACTTGAGGGTGTCTAGCAATGACCCTCTTTGCCCTGGGTTTTAGGGGTGTTCCCTAGGAAACCAAGGCAGTGAACGCGCACACACACATCCAATGTGACTGTTAGCTTTTTGCTCACACAGGTGGTTCTTAGCAGTGATCTTTGGCTTTGTTCTCCCCCTCCTTCATTTCCCAAGAGCCTTCAGTCCAAGACACCTCATCAAACCCAGGCTGGGAGAACTAGGTCCCTGGGCCTGGTGCTGAGAGCTTGTGCTCCTGCCTGAGGGTGCAGCTTCTCTCTCCAGGTGCCCATCTGATGGGGAGATGGCTGACACCCAGAACATTTCCTCGGAAAGCCCAGGGAGTGTGGGCGCCGTGGCAGTGCCGGTGGTCTTCGCCCTCATCTTCCTGCTGGGCACGGTGGGAAATGGGCTGGTGCTGGCAGTGCTGCTGCAGCAGGGCTCCAGTGCCTGGCAGGAGCCGGGCAGCACCACAGATCTGTTCATCCTCAACCTGGCTGTGGCGGACCTCTGCTTCATCCTGTGCTGCGTGCCCTTCCAGGCGGCCATCTACACGCTGGATGCCTGGCTCTTTGGGGCTTTCGTCTGTAAGGCCGTGCACCTGTTCATCTACCTCACCATGTACGCCAGCAGCTTCACCCTGGCCGCGGTCTCGGTGGACAGGTACGCTGGGCCCTGGGGGGCTGGGGAGAAAAATCTGAGCAGCCCCAGGAGAGAATAGGGAACCAAAGAGACTGGTGGGAGAAAAGGCAGGAAAGTTCTGAGATCCTAGGGAACAAGTGTGTGTCTTACGTGTCAACCATCTGACAAACAGTAGGTGCTCTGTCGGTACATGGCAGAAGAACCTCACAATGCATTCAGCAGATATAACTGCCCACACCTGGCCTATTACTGTACTCAGTATAGCAGGGTCAAAGTCAGGCTCACTCCCTATCTAATGATCTTTTTTTTCTTTTTCGTGGTCAGTCATGGGACTTGAACTCAGGGCCTGAGCTTTTTTGCTCAAGGCTAGCGCTCTACCTCTTTGAAGCACAGCAGGGTTTTATTTTTGGTGGTTAACTGGAGATGAGTCTCATGGACTTTTCCTGCCCAGACTGGCCTCAAACCGCGATCCTCAAATCTCAGCCTCCCGGGTAGCGCCCGGCCAGCTAATGATCTTGATGAGCGCCTGGCCATGCTCTTAAGCACGTGGTGTTAAGGCCCCAACCTTCCCCACCAGAGTAGTGGAGGAGAGGAAAAGGGCGCGCGCATTGCAGGCCTGACACCCTCTGATCGGGCACCTGCCCCCCCTCCTGCCCCCATCCCTGTCTGCCTTCAGGTACCTGGCGGTGCGGCACCCGCTGCGCTCGCGGGCCCTGCGCACCCCGCGCAATGCGCGCGCCGCCGTGGGCCTGGTGTGGCTGCTGGCGGCGCTCTTCTCGGCGCCCTATCTCAGCTACTACGGCACGGTGCGCTACGGCGCGCTGGAGCTCTGCGTGCCCGCCTGGGAGGACGCGCGCCGGCGCGCCCTGGACGTGGCCACCTTCGCCGCCGGCTACCTGCTGCCCGTGGCCGTGGTGAGCCTGGCCTACGGGCGCACGCTGCACTTCCTCTGGGCCGCCGTGGGCCCCGCGGGCGCCGTGGCCGCCGAGGCGCGGCGCCGGGCCACTGGGCGTGCGGGGCGCGCCATGCTGGCGGTGGCCGCGCTCTACGCCCTGTGCTGGGGCCCGCACCACGCGCTCATCCTCTGCTTCTGGTACGGCCGCTTCGCCTTCAGCCCGGCCACGTACGCCTGCCGCCTGGCCTCGCACTGCCTGGCCTACGCCAACTCCTGCCTCAACCCGCTGGTCTACGCGCTCGCCTCGCGCCACTTCCGCGCGCGCTTCCGCCGCCTGTGGCCCTGCGGGCGCCGCCGCCGCCACCACCACCACCACCACCGCCGCGCGCCCTGCCCCGCGGGCGCCCGCCGCGCGCTCCGGCGTCGGGTCGGCCCTCTGTCCTCCGGTCCCCCCATCGGCTGCCCTGGAGCCTCCTCTGGGCCTCGCGGGCGGCTGCCGATGGGCGGCGGCTGGGATGGTGGGGAGCCCACGGGGGATCCGGGACGCCGCAGAGATGCCCGGGGGCCACAATGAACCTGTCCGCGTGCGTGCAGGGCCTACAGGTCTGGCTGCCCCCTGCCCCAGGGTGATGTCCAGGCGCGCAGCTGAGCAGTGGCAGAGCCTGGCTTCAGCCCAGTGGACACGTGCCAGGTGACAGTAGATCAACCCAGCTGGGCAGAGCCCCTCCACCAGCCCTGGCCCTGTCCCAAGCCGTCCAGAGGGCAGCTGCCCCTTCTAGGGCAGCTTCTAGGTCCTGCCTCCTCTCTCACCCCTTACCAAGCTCCCTCCCCACTTGGTCCAAGCCTTCTCCTGGGTCCTTCAATGGCAAGATGTGATTAACTAGGCAGGCATCAGTGTGGCTCAAACCTGCAATCCTAGCTACTCAAGAGGCTGAAACCTGGGGCTGGGAAGGTGGCTCAGTGGTAGAGCACTTGCCTTGCATACCTGAGGCCCTGGGTTCGATTCCTCAGCACCACATAAGCAGAAAAAGAAAAAAGCCAGAAGTGGCACTGTGGCTCAAGTGGTAGAACGCTAGCCTTGAGCTGAAGAGCTGAGGGACAGCGCGCAGGCCCAGAGTTCAGGCCCCATGATCAGACCCCCCCCCAAAAAAAAAAATAGGCTGAAATCCCAAAGCCAACCAGAACAGGAAAGTCTGTGAGACTCTTATCTCCAATGAACCACCGAAGAGTCACAGATGGACGTGTGGCTCAAGTAGTAGAGCATCAGCCTTGGAAAAAGCTAAGGTGTTCAAGCTGCAGTACCATCACAAAAAAAGACAAGTATAATTAGTCCTGTAATACAAATGGAAAAATCAAGGATCAGAGAGGTTTAGTAACTTGTCCTGGTCACATAACTAGGATTTGGTAGAGTTCGGATTCAAACCCATGCATTGCTGGCTAATGTTTTCTCCTCAATGGCCTTTCTTCTCTACTTCTGGAGCCTCCTCTTGCTTGGTTCCAAAACTTCTCATCACCTTTTTTTTTGGGGGGGGGTCATGAGGCTTAAACTCAGGGCCTGGACGCTGTCCCTGATCTCTTTTGCTCAAAGCTAGCCCTCTACCACTTGAAGCCATAACCCCACTTTCAGTTTTCTGGTGGTTAGTTGGAGATAAGAGCCTCACAGATTTTCCTGCCCCAACTGGCTTTGAACTGTGATCCTCAGGTCTCAGCCTCCTGAGTAGCTAAGGTTACAGGCGTGAACCACAGGCACCTCGCTCCCCCTCCATTCTTCTGCTTTGCTTTCCTAATTTTCCAGCGCCTACATCCGACTGGACGCTCTAGAGTCCTCAAGAACTCCAGGTCCCTCCTTAGGAGAGTTCTACTTGTCTACTTGGGCAGTTGGGCCAAAAGGGCTTTGGATCTGTCTGGCTCGGGGGCCATTTCCTGGTCTCCAAATGGACCTTGCATTATTCCTTCAACCCTTTAGTGGTTTAAGAGACATTTTGCCACCCTTGGGCCCCAGCTGGCCTCTCTGAGCCGCCCCCCCACCCCCCGCTTCTCCATCCCCCCACACAGCTGGGGAAGTCTGTGGCTGTAGAAACCACTAATTAACCAATAAATCAGTCTTGATGGTTTCCACGATGCCCACCTCCCTCCCTCCTTCCCTTCCAGTACATCAATAATGTTCATTAGCTTTGGGGCTGAGAACTGAGACCCCGCGGCTTCCAGGGCTCCCTGGCTCACCTCCCAGCTGCTGGGGCGCCCTGGGATGGGCCCGTCTGTGCAGAAGGCAGCTGCATCTTCATCACTGCCAGCCACCTGCCACCGACTCCGGGGTCAGAGTGCAGCTGAAGGCTGAGACCAGGGAGGGGAGCAACTCCCTCTAGTCCTTTGGTAACAGACTCCCACCCCAGACCCAGGGCCCTTTCTTCCACATCTCTGAGCCTCCGGATCACCCAGGCAGAGAGACAGCCAGACCTGGGAAGGGACTGGCCAGTGGAACCTTCCATGGTGCCTTAGAGACTCTGAGCACAGTGGCTCAGAGGCCTGACAGAGGACTACACAGCTTGGCACAGAGAAGGCATGCAACACATACTGGATAAAAGAGGACAGCAGCCCGCCCCCAGCCCCGCCCTCCTTCCTTCCTTCCTTCCTTCCTTCCTTCCTTCCTTCCTTCCTTCCTTCCTTCCTTCCTTCCTTCCTCCCTCTTTCCTTATACTATCTGAGAGCCCCCTGAATCCAGGCTTGAGGGGAAGACCTGACAGCCTGGGCCCTGGTGAGCCAAACACACAGGAAAGGCAGAGCACTGTGACATGCACAACAGGATGTAACTAAAGACCACATTGGTGTTGGGGGGGCGGGGCTGGGAGGATGTTGAGGAGGACACTCCTGCCTGCAAGGGGACACAAGGCAGGATCCCAAAGTTCATAGCATTTTCCTAGAGAAGGGAGGGACACGCAGGTGGGCGAGCAGGAATACCAGCCGGCTGAGCAGCTGAAGCAGGTGAGTAAGATCAGTGGCAGAGTGGAGAGTGGGTGCAAATGTCACTCTTTAAGCCAAGGGCTGCCTGCAGCCTTCTAGGAGGGGAGGTGAAATTCAGAAATCCCCAAGTTGTCTGCAGAGGCCTTGTTAGAAAAGCAGGACTAAGAGGAAGGCAGTTCTTAGGGAGCCCCACCCCTCACCCCCAAGGCTTAGTGAGGAGTCACGGAGGCCTGGACCCAGGCTAGGAAATGATTTTTGCCACAGTTGTGGCAGGAAGATGGATGGCCTGTTGCTGCCTCAGGCTGGGCTCCTGGGTTTGCTTCAGGGGCTAATAAAGTACTTGGAAGAACAGATGATTGTATTCAGTTGGTTAGGGAAGAAACAGTCAATGGGACCAGCTCAGGCTGGTGTCCCCAGGGCCCAGGAGAAGCTACGAGATCTCAGACCCAGGCCAAGTCCTGGTTGAGGGAGCCTTCCAGTCCCCAGGAAAAAGTTCCTAGAAAACCTGTGTGAATCCCAGTCCTCAGGCAGGAAGTGTCCAGGGAAGGGAATCATGGAGGAACATGTGTTCTGCTGACTGGCATCTGGCATGTGGGACAGGGTAAGCCTGTGAGCTCCCACAGGAAGGGAGGCAGGAGAGAGGGGTGAGCTGTAAAGACCTCAGATCTGGATGGGGATTGTTCTATGTCCCAAGGGTGACAGGGAACCACTGGAGGAAACCAGAGTGACTCGAGGTTTCGATACCTCTAGAGTGGGTGGACAGAGAGATGGGGCAGGGCGATGCAGTAAGACACCAGACAGGCAGGAAGGACAGGCAGTGGGAGAGACATACTCCATTAGTTTGTCATGATTTGGGGGTAGATAGAGGGCAAGCAGGACAGCGATGTCCCTGGACTTCTGGCTTGGGCACTCAGCGTGACAGTGGAGACAACCCAGGGAACAGTTTAGAGGGCAGTGATGAGCTGGGTTGGGCCATGTGGTCATGGTGTGCTGGGCAGTCACAGTGGAGGCCTCATGCTTGGCCCTAGAACTTACATCTCATCTAGAGTCTGAAGATGGAGACACTGAAGCGAGAAAGAGTAAATGCTGTGCCCACGATTGCAGGGTTAGGCTGGAATAGAATTGGGGTTTTAACTCAGGTTTATGTGATTGCAATTTTCTGATTGCAATCCTTAGAGGGAGGGGGACGAGGCAAGAAGGACTTTGTTTTTTCTTTTTCCTTTTCTTTGGAGGTTGTAGGGCTTGAACTCAGGACTTAGACTCTGTCCTTGAGGATTTTTGTTGTTGTTGTTGTTGTTCGTGGGGCCTGAACTCTGGGCCTGGGTGCTGTCCCTCAGCTCTTCAGCTCAAGGCTAGCACTCTACCACTTGAGCGTCAGCTCCACTTCCGGCTTTTTTCTTTTTTCTTATGTGGTGCAAAGGAATCAAACCCAGGGCCTCATGCATGCAAGACAAGCACTCTACCACTGAGCCACCTTCCCAGCCCCGTGTCCTTGAGCTTTTCTGCTCAAGGCTAGCCCTCTACCACTTTGAGCCACAGCTTCACTTTCAGTTTTCTGGTGGTTACTTGGAGATAAGAGTCATAGATTTTGCAGCCAGGATTGGCTTTGAACCAAGATCCTCAGATCTCAGCCTGAGTAGCTAGGATTACAGGTGTGAGCCACCAGCTGGCTAGGAAGGACTTTCTTGGAGGGAGAAATTTGAATGAGGAAAGCAAGCCCCTATGCTGTCTGGTGGCAGGGCTGTGCCCAGGGAGGAGGGGGTGGAGGGGAGGAGAGGCAGGCAGACACTGCCACCCCAAGCAGTCCCTCCCCCTTGCTTGGGGTTGCTGGGGACAGCATCATCCATCTGTCAACCTGGAGGTGTAGAGCTGGGGAAATAAACACCAATTAACCACCCAGAGGTTGCCTAATGAATATTGCTTGCTCAGCCCTGATAAAGGCCTCATTTGTGAACTATTGGCTACAGGCTAGATGAGAGGAAAGCGGAGGGACAGGCTGAGCAGAAACTGTTCCTGATTTAAGAGTAAGCGGACAAGACTAATTTATTGAGGCTTCTGCTTACAGCCAAGTCAAGAGGCTGGGAGGAGGGTATGGGGAGAGGTAGGGGTGGGGAGGGAGGCAGGCAGTAGGGTGGTGAGGGGCAGGGGATCCAGGACTGGGTGAAGTACTGCCTATAAGAGTCAAGGCTCAGCCAGGAACCAGTGGCTCATGCTTGTAATCCTAGCTACTCAGGAGGCTGAGATCCGAGGATCATGGTCCAAAGCCAGCCCAGGCAGGAAAGTTTGTGAGACTTTTTTGTTGTTGTTGTTGGTCATGGTGCTTGAACTCTGTGCCTGGGTGCTGTCCCTCAGATCTTCAGCTCAGGTGAATCTCTACCACTTGAGCCACAGCACCACTTCTGGTTTTCTGGTGGTTTATTGGAGATAAGAGTCTCATGGACTTTCCTTCCAAGGCTGGCTTTGAACCTCAATCCTCAGATTTCAGTCTCTTAAGTCACTAGGATTACAGACGTGAGCCACCAGCCCTCGGCTTGTGAGACTCTTATATCTAATAAAACACCAGAAAACCGGAAGTGGTGCTGTGGCTCCAGTGGTAGAGCACTTGCCTTGAGCCGAAGAGCTGAGGGACAGCGCCCAGGCCCAGAGTTCAAGCCCCAAACCAATAACAACAAAAAAGGTCAAGGCTCCCAGGTCCCTGGCGCTGGACAGCTGTGGAGCTGAGGAGGAAGGTAGCAGAGGGCATCTGGGAGCTGCTAGGAGAGCTCAAGAGGCCGGTGAACCCAGCAGAAGGACATAAGCTTACTCCTGGTTCCTGCCAAGTATGCGTGGCTCGAACCTCTATAATCCTCGCTACTCAGGAAGCTGAGATCTGAGGATCATGATTCAAAGCCAGCCTAGGCAGCAAAGTCCATGAGACTCTTGTCTCCAATTAATCATAGTAGAGATGTGGCTCAAGTGGGAGAGCACTAGCCTTGAACAAAAAAACTCAGCAACTGTTCAAGCCCCAGCATTTAGCCCCAGACACAGACACACAGACATACACACTCCTTGCTCCTGATCTTCATAGCTATGACTTTTCCAGGTCTCAAAAGCAGAACTATACTCTGCTTGTGCCAGGTCCAATCTGAAGCACTGGGTGGTATCCATCTTGAGGCAACCCCCCCACTAAGCCCTCCAGTCTCCCTCTGCCAGATCACCAAGTGCCTCGGTGATGCAGACCATGCTTCCGGGCTTTGGAGCTAGAGGGTCAGCCTTGGTCAGCACAGGAACAAGAAACCCACAGCCTGCAATCTCAGTCTGTGCCAAGTCCAGCAAGGCCCCGTCAACCTGAGCCTGCTTCTCCCTTGTAAAGTGAAATGGTCACATCTGGAGGGCCAAACTGGGGGCTGAGGACCCTGTGGACCACAGAATGAGGGAATCCAAGCATTGGCCAGGCCTCTGTCCTGGTCTTGGCTCAGCTGTTGACAGTCTGGGAAGCAGGCAGTCTTGGTGTAAGGGACTAGCCCCGTAGGCATGTGGTCCCAAAATGGTGGCAGGAACAGCCTGTCCTAGGGTGGAAGCTTTCTAGGGGAAAGCTTTAGACCTCAGGCCTCTGCAGTTGGGTGAGCTAACCTCTTACCCCCAGGACCTCTCAGGCCCGGTTCATGCAGCTCTCCTCATGACCTCCAGAAGTCAGCCAACAAGGACAGCAAGCAGAGCTAGCCCATCCACTCACACCAGTCATCCTCTCCCTCCCCACTGGGCTCTGTCGAGGTACAGATCAGACCCCACCCTGACACAGAGCATGCTGACCAAGTTACACTTGGGTCCTACCTAATTTGTCACAGGAGCCCTGAGAACACTGGGCTTCTGGAACCTGGTGAGAGGATGCGGGATGTGGGCCAGGCACTTGGCTGTTCAACCTCAAGCAAGTTACTTTGTTTCCTGCACAGAGGAGGCAATGCTAAGGTTTTATTATTATTATTACTAACTCAAAGGGCTTGTCTACAACACCTGTTGTGGGTTAAGCAAGTGTCACACTCTCTCTCTTGTGGGGGAGCGCGCCTCTGGCTCCAGGCCTGGTAGAAACATCATGAATTTGGGAGGTATGTCCATGTTCCAGCCCTAGTTACCTGGGTAGGCCACCCTGGTGGGCCTGCAGCAGCAGCAAGGCCCGCCTAGAACAATCCTAGCCAGAGCAAGTGTTCACTAGAGATTGCTCACACAAATGGAATGGACCAGATGGACCATTAGAAAGCGAAAGGATTCCCTGCACAGGGTAAACTCAACAACCATGCCAGTCTTCTTCCCGAGCCTGCTCACTCCACCCTCTGCTATCGTGTCAGCAGCTGGCAACAGACTGGATCCCCAAGGACAGCTTTCGCTGAGTTCTGGCCTGCGCCCGCCGCCCAGTCCAGCGCACAGGGTCCTCTTGTGTTTTCTGACTCACTCTCCTGTCTGGATTGACTTTGGCTGGCTGGCTGGCTGCGCTTGATGAATGACCTGTAAGGTACCTTCCTGCCCAACCTGCCCTCCCTCCAAAACTCCCAAGCCTGCCACTTGAGTCTCAGAGCTGCCACTGCGCCTGGCCTTCCTCTCCCTGCCAACCCCAAGGCCTTAGCTCCTCCCTCCCTCCACAGGGCCCTGGGGGCTAGTATCTCTCACCCTTCACCCTCAGGCTGAGCGGCTGGATTCTGAGAGTTCAGGCCGACCTGAAGCATGCCTAGCTGTGGTCTGGGAACAAATTCTCCTCCTCTGAAAGTAGCCAAGGCTTCCAATTTAGTGAGAAAGTGGGACAGAGCCAGATGGCACATGGAATAAGCTCTGTCAAATCTGTGCCCAGTGCCTCCCAGTGCCCACCCTAAGGTTTTCCCCTTATGGCACACCAAGCAGGGTGTGCAACAGAGAGCCCTCTGCTCCTGCTGGTGGGGCCAGGGCTGCTCATAGGACCAAAGGCTTTCACAGTGGTGAATTTGAGCATCTATTTTATTGGTTTCCTGTTGCTATGGCAACAAACAACACAGACATTCTCATGGGTTTCTAGAGGCTATAATCTAAAATCAGTCTCGCTGAGCTAAAGTCTAAAGTTGTCAGTAAAGCCAGTTCCTTCTGGAAGTCCAATGGAGAAAATCCATTTCCTTGCCTCCTCTAGCTTCTGAAGGCAGCCTACATTCCTTGGCTTGTGACCTCTTCTCTGGACTTGTACTTGGGGATTTGAACCAAGGGCCTCAGGCTTACCAGCCAGTTGATAGCACTGGGGCACCAGCCATTACCCTTGAATTTTTGTGCTGGTAGTGGGACATGAACTCTGAGCCTCAAGCTCTCACTTGGCTTTTTCACTCAAAGGTGGCGCTCTACCACTAGAGCCATACCTTCACTTCCTGCTTTTTGCTGATTAACTGGTAATAAGAGTCTCAGAGACATTTCTGAACTGTGATTCCCAGATCCTAGCCTCCTCAGTAGCCAGCATTATAGCCTTGAGCCATGGGTGCCTGAACCCTCCCAACTTATTGCTCATATTAGCACATCTGCTTGTTTCCCTTAATACTGACCTCTACGATCTCATCCAGCCCACCTTGATAATTCCAGACCATGTGTGTGTGAAGACTTAGTTGTAGCCACAAAGCCTCCCCGGCCATGTGGGGTCCAGCCCACAGGATCCTGGATGAGGACCTAGGCATCCCTAGATGCCTACAATCAGCTTGTGACAACTAGCAGCAAACCAAACCCCTCCTGCTGTTTCAGTGACCGTCAGGGGAAGGGTTGGGGAACGTTTCCTTTTGGAGTCAGTGGGATGCTCCCTAACCTTATTTAAGGCCTAGGCCTCACCAACCCTCCCTGCTTCTGACCAGAGAAACTGATGCAATGTCTCCTCAGAAGTCAGGCAACGAGCTAAAACCTCAGTGCTGGAGAAAGGGCCAGGGCCAGCCAAGAAGCTTGTGGTGGCCTGAGAGTACATGCCGGAAGCCAGCCGGCAGCAACAAGCCCTTAGCTGGGAAGGAGCAGGAAGAAGGCTTCGGGGCCTGCTGAGGGTGCGGGAGGCCTGAGGACGGTGGCGCACGTCAGCCAGAGCTGAAGTGCGGCTGCAGGGTGCCTCGTGCAGCAAAGGTGATCTGCGGAGATGATGGAGACTGACTGGGAGCGGCTCAGGTGGCGAAGAGTGTGACTCGGCGGTCCCCAGCGTCTTGAGGATGAGGAGAAGTGGAGTTCCAAAGTCCCCTGGGCTTTTTCTTTGTAGAAGAGAGCAGAGGGGGCAGGGCTGTGGCTGTGGCAGTGGCAGGTGTGTGTGTGGGGGGGCTCTTGCTACCTCTTCTCCATGTTTTGCATCTGTAAACTCAGGGAGGTAAAGCTGGCCAGGAGGTCAGTCACCTCATCAACCTGCAAGAAGAAACGCAGACTCTGTTCCAGGGTGCCAGGTTCCCACTAGCCTGTCCCCCCACAAAGCAGATATTGTCTCCCAGTGGGACAGTTGGCACCAGGTGACCCGGTGCTCCAGCCAGACAGCAGGGCCGTGAGCACAAATCCACCTCTGTAGGCTCAAAGGAAATGGTGGAGGCTCGGGCTGGTTCCTGCTGTGCGGGTATGGCCCCAGGGCTGGACCTGTGGCTGCAGGTTACCTGCTCTTTGGTGCTGGTCATCTGGAGCCGGGTGCAGAGGTCATCCAGCCTGTCCCGCTGCTCGTGCTGCCCCAGGCGCTCCAGGTACTCCCGCAGCATATGGATGATCTGCAAGAGAGGCTGAGCTGAGCGGGCGTGTTCTGACTTGACCCAGAAAGGGGGCGCAGAGGGGTCTGGTGGGGTGCTGTGGGCGGGTCCAGTGCAGGAGTCCTCTGGGTCAGTAGATGACTTGGAGCCCTGCGAGCAGGGGCAGGTGTACTAGGGAGAGGAGCACAGGAGCGTGTGCTCACCTGCTTCACCTCCAGCCGCACAGCCTCCAGACACTGAGAATGGCCCTCCTGCAGGATGTTCAGCTTCGACTTGGCCAGGTGCAGGGGTGTGCGGCCAGCTCTGTCCAGGGCATCTACACGGGCCCCTGTGGGAACAGGCAGAGGGAAGCATGCTGGTGGTAAGGGTAAGTGAAAGGAGCAAGAAGAAGGGACTACATACCTCCTCGGAGCAGCGTGGTGATGACAGGGACGTGGTTGGTGCAGGCCGCTGAGAACGAAGAACAGAGATTTAAGAATCCAGGAACCGCTGGGCATCTGTAGCTCATGCCTGTAATCCTAGTTTACTTGGGACCATGAGATCTGAGAATCCCAGTTCAAAGCCAGCCTGAGCAGGTAAGTTTGTGAGACTTTTTTTTCTTTTTTTTGGTCCGTCATGGTGTTTGAACTCTGGGTTTGGGCACTGTCCCTGACCTCTTCAGCTCAATACACAAGCTCTACTGTTTGAGCCACAGCACCACTTCCAGTTTTCTGATGGTTAATTGAAGGTAAGAGTCTCACAGCCTTTCCTCTCCTGGGATGGCTTCGAACCTCGATCCTCAGATCTCAGCCTCCTGAGTAGCTAGGATTACAGGCGTGAGCCACCAGCACCTGGTTGTGAGACTCTTATATCCAATTAACCAGCAAAAAGGCAGAAGTGGAGCTATGGTTCAAGTGGGAGAATGCTAGCCTTGAACAAAAAGCTAGGGAAGAGTGTGAAGTCCTGAATTCAAGCCTCCGTTCTGGAACACACACACACACACACACACACCACACACACACACACACACACACACGGAGCTATGGTTCAAGTGGGAGAATGCTAGCCTTGAACAAAAAGCTAAGGAAGAGTGTGAAGTCCTGAATTCAAGCCTCCGTTCTGGAACACACACACACACACACAGAAGGGAGCACTATAATCCTAATGAGGAGGCTGAGATATGAGGATCTCAGTTTGAAGCCAGCCTGGGCAGGAAAGTCTGTGAGACTCTTATCTTCATTAAAATAGCAAAAACAAAAACACAAAACAAAAGTAGAGCTATGGTTCAAGTGGTAGAGCACTAGCCCTGAGCAAATTCTCAGGAATAGCACCCAGGCTCTGATTTCAAGCTCCAGGATCAGCAATGAGAAAAGAAAAAAAAGAGAAAGAGAATCCAGGAGCAGGGCTGTGGGCTGGGTTTCTGAATATGCCCACACCAAACTCTGCCTCCTAAAAAGGTGTCACCGTGTCACCAGGGCTGCATCTGGGCATTACTGAGCAATCATATCTAATTCTCTCCTTGCACATCTGGGGAAATTGAGGCCTGGAGATGGGCCCTGCCCATAGTGAGTTGGCAACAGGTCAAAAGCCAGGTAGGGTCTCACGACATGCTTTCTAGTGAAAATGCCATGTCTAGGGACGGCCAATGGCTGGGTGACTGGACAGGCATGGGACCCAGGCTGCTACCAAGTGCGGCCTCGGGGCTCGGGCTCACTGGATGCTTGGAGACGCTAGTGGGATCCTGAGGGACAAAGATTCCCCACTTGGGGGCTAGTCTGTTCTAGAGGTATCTTGTCAGCTTTTGGGGACTCACCCAGGTGCAGTGGTGTGTTGCCCAGACCGTCCCTCTGGTTGGGGTCAGCCCCATGGTCCAGAAGCAGCTGTACTGGAAAGAGAACCCAAGAGGAACTGGGTTTTGTTTTGTTTTGTTTGCCAGTCCTGGGGCTTGAACGCAAGGCCTGGGATCGGTCTCTGAGCTTCTTTTGCTCAAGGCTAGCACTCTTACTACTTGAGCCACAGCACCATTTCTGGCTTTTGCTGCTTAGGTGGTACTGAGGAATTAAAGGAATTAAACCTAGGGCTACATGCATGCTAGGCAAGCACTCTTCCACTAAGACACATTCTCAGCCCTGAGGAACTGTTTTAACTGGACCCGCACCCATAGTCTAGCTACAGAGGTTTGCTCAATGTGTAATTTCTCTCACTCATTTTTGTATTCATCCGCTTTTCCTCATTCATACACAATGGGTTCCTGTGCAGGATCCTGGATGCCAGAACCTGTGTACGTGCTATAGAACTGAGTTGGGATTTTTTTTTTTTTTTTTCGGTCGTGGGGCTTGAACTCTGGGCCTGGGCGCTGTCCCTCAGCTCTTCAGCTCAAGGTGAGCGCTCTACCACTTGAGCTACTGCGCCACTTCCGGTTTTCTGGTGGTTTATTGGAGATAGGAGTCTCACGATCTCTCCTGCCCGGGCTGGCTTTGAACCGCGATCCTCAGATCTCAGCCTCCTGAGTAGCTAGGATTACAGGCGTGAGCCACCAGCGCCCGGCTTGAGTTGGGATTTTTTTGGGGTACTAGGGTTTGAACTCAGGGCTTCACGCTTGCTAGGCTGGTGCTCTACCATTTGAGCCATACCTCCATCTCCTTAGTTTGTAGTTTTCTTTGTGCTGGTATTAGGGGTTGAACTCAGGGGCTGAGTGCTGCCCCCTAACTTTTTTGCTCAAGCCTGGCAGTGTCACAGCCCACCCTGAGGTATATCAAGGAGGGGGAGCTTGTTGTCTAGTGGCCTAGCTCTCACTATGGTATTTAACAGAGAGAAGCAGGAGACGTCCTTTTCTCAGCTTTAAAACCTCAGTCCCAGTCAGACACTGGTGGCTCATACCTGTAATCCTAGCTCTTCAAGTGGTTGAGATCTGAGGATCATGGTTTGAAGCCACCCTAGGCAGGAAAGACCATGAGACTTACCACCCAAAAGCCAGAAGTGGAGCCGTGGCTCAAGTAGTAGAGGGCCAATCTTAAACAAAAAAGCTCAGGGACGTAAGGATCCTCCTGGTGGCCTCTGGAGAGACACCGCTTCACCTGCCCTGCGCATGCCCAGTACTTACCAATCTGGTCATTGCCATTGCAGGAAGCGAAGTGGAGGGCAGTGCGGCCCTTGTCATCAGCTGCACAGGGATCCGTGCCATCGTCCAGCAGCTGCTGCACTGACACCACCAAGATGGGGGGAAGGCAACAAAGCAGAAGTGTTAGCTATGCTGCAGTCCGGGAGCAGGCAGGGGTCCCCCTAGACAAGGCATTCCCAACGCATGGCAAAGCTTCTCCCCAAGGGGCCAGCATGGCAAGGAATGTGTTTTCTTCAGAACACAACTGAGCACAAGACCAAGGGGCACACAGACTAAGTCCTAGGCTAAACTAAGTAAACAAGCAAGGGGGCAAGCTGGGCAGTGGTAACTCATGCCTATAATCCTAGCTACTTAGGTGTTTTTGGTTGTTTGTTTTTTGTTTTTTTTTTGGTTGGTGCTGTCCCTCAGCTCTTCAGCTAAGGCCAGCGCCCTACCACTTGAGCCACAGCATCACTTCAGTTTTTCTGAGTGGTTTATTGGAGATAAGAGTCTCATGCCTTTCCTGCCCAGGCTGGCCTTGAACCATGATCCTCAGATCTCAGCCTCCTAAGTAGCTAGGATTTCAGGTGTGAGCCACTGGCTAAGTAGCCACAACTACTTAGAAGGTTGAGATCTGAGGATCAGGATTTGAAGCCAGCTGGGCAGGAAGTCTGTGAAATTCCTTCTCCAAATAACCACCAAAAAGTCAGAAGTGGAGGTGTGGCTCAAATGGTAGACAGATAGCCTTGAGCAGAAAAAGGAACAGCACCCAGGGCCCTGAGTTCAAGCCCCACTATGGACACAAAAAAAGTAAGGAGCATACTGCCAACAGCACCTGACAGTGGAAGGAGCTGGCCTGGGGTGAGCAGAGGCCTGAACTTGGGCCCCAGGTCATGGCAAATGTATATAATCTCTGTGCTGCCAACCTCCAGAGCTGCTGAGATGAGAATCATGGGAGTGGAAGTCCTCGGTGGAACACAGGAGCCCTGTAAGTATGAGGCATTATGCTCTAATGCACATATCAGCTAAAATGGGGGAAAGTGCTACTCAATGTTTTAGTATCTGTCTCCCGGCAAGAAGCTTCTCGAGGGCTTGAACCATTCTGCCCAAAGCCCAGGCAGCACTCTTCCAGCTGAGTCAGTACTGTTTTCACCACCAAGAGTGAAGGACACTGAGGGCAGGAGAACATTCTGGTTCCCATTACAGGTATGCATAGCAGTTTATAAACTCATAAAGTCCTCAAGCTGGGCCCAGATGGGTCATACCTATATACTAGCTCTCCAGAAGACCTGTTTGAACTGGAGGATCAAAGTTCAAAGCCAGCCCAGGAAGAAAGGTTTGCTAGGCTGGGTGCCAGTGGCTCATCCCTGTAATTCTAGCTACTCAGGAAGTTGAGATCTGAGGATCCTGGACAGGAAAGTCCATGAGACTCTTATCTCCAATTAACCACCAGAAAAACCGAAGTGGTGCTCAAGTGGTAGAGTGCTAGCCTTGAGCTGAAGAGCTGAGAGACAGTGTCCAGGCCAAGTTCAAGCCCCATAACTGACAAAAAAAAAAAAAAGAGAGAGAGAGAGAGAAAGATTTGCTAAGCATGAGGCCCTGAGTTCAAATCTGGTACTCAGAAAAACAGTCCTCAGCACAGGAAAGGAAATAGTGAGGACAGTTCCTTACGTGGCAAAAAGGACTTTGCAGATCTGATCAAGGCTAAGGACTTTGGGAAGCAGAGATTATCCAGGATTATCCAGGCCCAATGTAATCTCACCAGGCCTTGTAATCAGAGAGCCTTTCTCTGCTCCAAGGACCAGAGAGTATCAGAGAGAGAAGAGAACAGCCCACTGTGACTAGCTTTGAAGATGTGACTAGCTTTGAAGATGCCGGGACTAAGAGCCAAGAAACGTGGTATGGCGTGGTGCTAGTAATCTTATCTACTCAGGAGGCTGATCTGAGGATTGTGGTTCAAAGCCAGCCTAGGCAAGGAAGTCTGTGAGACTCTTATCTCCAATTAAGCACCAAAAAAAAAAAAAAAGGAAGTAGAGCTGTGGCTCAAGTGATAGAGTGTTAGCCTTGAGCATAAAAAGCTTAGGGGGGCTGGGAAGGTGGCTCGGTCTTAGAGGGCTTGCCTTGCATGCATGAGGCTCTAGGTTCGATTCCTCAGCACTACATAAGCAGAAAAAGCCAGAAGTGGCGCGGTGGCTCAAGTAGTAGAGCTCTAGCCTTGAGCTCAAGAGCTAAGGGACAGTGCCCAGGCCCAGAGTTCAGGCCCCGTGACCAGCAAAAAAAAAAAAAAAAAAAAGCTTAGGAACAGTGATCAGGTTTTGAGTTTAAGCCCCACGACTAACCAAGACGGGAGAAACAAAAAAAGAAAGCAATGCAGCATCTCTGTCACCTAGATTTTAGCCTGGTCAGTGAGACCTGTACAAGACTTCTGGCCCAGGGAATTATAACAAATTTGTGTTGCTTAAGCCACTAAGTAGGGGTAATTAGTTAAAGTGGCCAGAGAAAGCTAACACCACTTTCCTCTGACTCATAGGACACATTAAGTCCATAGACAAAATTAATTTTTTTGTCCTAGATTGACTTTGCTATTTACCTTTGATGTAGTTACTGCCCCCTTAGCTCAGGAGTGCCAGAAAACAGTAGCAGAAAACCAGACAGAACCTCCTGCGAGCTGCATTCACTCCTCCCAGGGGCTCTGCCAACTGCAGCCATGAATGCCACTTGACCTGACCTCACAGTGTACAGAGCAGCTCGAGGTGGTGGATGTCACTTGGCAGTTAAAGCAGTGTTTACTCTCATTAGCCAGAAGAAGTTCCAAACAAGCACCCTATAGACAGGGTCCCTGGCATCAGGAATCCCAAAGGACAGTAAGTGCTCTGACACAGGAGGGCCCAGGGTGACAGGGGAGAATGTGAATCTGTATGTAAGTCTGCCTGCTTTCTGCAAGGTGACTGCAAAGACATTGGTAAATACAGCGGCCCTGTGACAAGAGAGTGAACTTTTATTTTTTATTTTTTGTCAGTCGTGGGGCTAGACCTCTGGGCCTGGGCACTGTCCTCAGCTCTTCAGCTCAAGGCTAGCATCCTACCACTTAAGCCACAGCACTACTTCCGGTTTTCTGGTGGTTTATTGGAGATCAGAGTCTCAGACTTTCCTGCCCAGGCTGGCTTTGAACTATGATCCTCAGATCTCAGCCTCCTGAGTAGCTTGGATTACAGGCGTGAGCCATTGGCGCCCGGCTTCTTCTTCTTCTTTTTAACTATATATTTTTTTGTTTTTTGTTTTTGGTACTGGGGATCAAACCCAGGACATTGCTAGGCAAGCACATTGCCACTGAGCTACATCCCAGCCTAAGGGTGAGCTTTATACTAGCTGGGCATTGATGTCTCACGCCTGCAGTCCTAGCTACTCAGGAAGCTGAGATCTGAGGATTAACGTTCAAAGCCAGACTAAACAGATAAATCCAAACTTCTTTGTGTGTGGGTGTCATTCTTGAGGCTTGAACTCAGGGCTCTGGGTGCTGTCATTTGAGTTTTTCTCAAATCTAGCACTCTACCATTAGAGCCACATGTCTATTTCCAGCCTTTTGCTGGTTAACTGGAGATAACAGCCTTAAGGGTTTCTCTTCCTGGGCTGTCTTTGAACCCTGATACTCAGATCACAGCCTGCTGAGCAGCTAAAATTACAGGTGTGAGTCACCAATGCATGGCTCCAAATACAAACTTTCATCTCCAATTAACCAGCAAAAGGCCAGAATTAGAGATGTGGCTAAAGTGGTATAGTACCAGCCTTGATCAATAAAGCTAAGAAAACACGAGCCATGTGTTCAAGCCCCAGAACTGGTATTTTAAAAAAAAGAAGCTGGGAATGTGGCTTAGTGTTAGAGTGCTTGCCTAGCATGCATGAAGTCCTGGGTTTGATTCTTCCCCAGTGCCACATTAACAGAAAAAAGCCGAAAGTGGCACTGTGGCTCAAGTGGTTGAGTGCTAGCCTTGAGCAAAAGAAGCTCAGAGACAGTGCCCAGGCTCTGAGTTCAAGCCCCAGGACTGACAAAAAAAAAAAAAGAAAGAAAGAAAGAAAGAAAAAGAAGGGTGAGAGGAGGCCTGTCTTTCTAAGTATGGGTACCTCGCTCTTGCCTATTACACTCCACCCGCCCCCTTCCATACCAGCTCCAGGAATCCATGGAGCCAGAATCATTGTGCACACTCACCTGTTTCCACATCATTGGCATTGGCTGAATCCCTCAGTCTCTTTAGGGCTGTGAAGAGAGTAAGAGGTAAGTTAAAAAAGAAAACCCAGAGCAGGGCGCTTGTGGCTTACACCTGTTATTCTAGCTACTCAGAAGGCTGAGATCTGAGAATCAGGGGTTGAAGTAGTCCAGGAAAAAAGTCCATGAGACTCTTATCTCCAATTAAGCACCAAAAGGCCAGAAGTAGAACTGTGGCTCAAGTGGTAGAATACCAGCCTTGAGGATTAAAAAAAAAAAAAAAAAGGGGACAGTACTCAGGCCTCAAGTTTCAAACCCCAGATACTGTCCCCCTCCAAACACACACACACAATTACCATGAAGAAACAGAAGGTAATGTTTCCTATTTTCCTGTGGTTACCACAGTATTTAAAGGGAAGCAACGGTGCCAGGATACAAAATGCTACCTAGAACAAGGAGAAACCCCAGCAAAGGCCACTTTTTAGCTGAGTGTCAGTAGCTCATATCTGTAATCCTAGTTACTCAGGAGACTGAGATCTGAGGATCAGGGTTCAAAGGCAGCCCAGTCAGATAAACTCTTGAAAATCTTATCTCCAGTTAACCAAAGAAAAGCTGAAAGTGGAGGTATGGCTCAAATGACAAAGTAGCATCCTTGAGTGAAAAAGCTAAAAGATAAGCCGGGTGCTGGTGGCTCACACCTGTAATCCTAGCTACTCAGGAAGTTGAGTATTCAGTTTTACACTCAGCAAATTAAGTGTTCAACTTCGATGACCACAATGTATCTCACAAATTAGAGGTAAAGCTATGTATCAGAAAACAGTGTATAACATATAACAAGGGCAGAAAACAGTGTATAACATATAACAAAGGCAGGATAATAGCTATCTATTTAGTACCTTATTTAAGTCTAGCCACACTCTGTAAAGGCAGGTAGCTGTATCCATACTATAAACAGAAAGTGAAGCTGAAAGAGTGCAGTTTGCCAGGGTCCGGGCAGGGAAGGGCAGTCCAATCCAGCTTGCATACAAGCTGGTAAATCTTGGCTATAGGCTCTGGCTTCCCCATTGCCCTGTGAACAGGATTCGCAGCCTGGGATTAGTGGTTCATGTATACAATCCTAAAGCCCTGGGAGACTGAGATTTGGAGGACCGCAGTTGGAGACCAGCCAGCTCAGGCAGTAATAAACACCCAGTCATGGAAAGTTTCTGTTGGGGATCTACCAAGTGAGAGGAGTCTGCCACTGAAGCAGGAAGACGTTTTAAAAAATAAACCCCGGATCCTGGGCAGCTCTGATAGAAGTAATTATTATTTATAACAGTAAAAGGAGACCCGACGGTCCCTGGGCACTGAGCAGTAGTCGAGAGACCTTGGGGTGGGGAGTTCAGGAGCCGGTGCGCTGCTCCCCGGGGCCCTCTCCGTGCACCTCCTCGCCCCGGACCCCCACCCTGCACCGCCTCGCCCCGGGCCTCACCGTGCACCTCCTTGCCCGTGGGCCCAAGCCGGCGGTGCGGCCTGGCGGCGCGCCGGAGCCGGCCGGCCGGGATCTTGCAGCGCAGCTCATCGCGCGGCTCCGCGTTCTGCTGCCACAGGACATGGAGGAAGCGCAGCGGGGACTCGGAGCCCCCGGACGCCCGGCCCGGAAGGCCTGCGCCACCGACCAGGGCGGACCCCAAGTCCGCGAAAGAGAAGAGGCCCTCGGCTTCTGCCAGCGGCTCCGGCGCCACCGCGCACTCGCCATCCGAGCTCGAGCCGCCCGAGCGCGGCTCGTCGCCCGCGCCCCCGGCGGCGGCTGCCATGGCAACGGCTCCGCGCTGGCCTGGCAGTCCGAGCCTCGTTCTCGACCGACCGACAGACCCACTTCCCTCCGCCTTGTCCTGCTGTCAAGGGAAGGCGCGGGCGGGCGGGACCCGCGTGCAACCACGGCAACCGAGCGGGAGGCGGGTTCGCGCCGCGGAGGTGGATCGTCTGGACCAGTGACGACTCCTCTAGCCTGCATTTCCCTGCCAATTGGGAAGGGAGGGAATAGTACGAGCGAGAGGATTGGACAGAGCTTCCAGCAGCGTGACTGGCGGATGGAAGAACCAATTACAAATTTCAAATGCCTAAGGCCCTCACTTTGTGCCACTACCGGAACCAATAAAAAAAAGCTAGATACTGCCCCTCCCTCCACTAACCCCCATTGAATCATGGGAAATACGACAGGCAGGTGCTGTAGCCAATCACGTGAAGAAGACCGACAGCCAATCACGAAGGAAAGTGTAGCCCGGGTATTGACTTGTTTTGAATCAATGAACACATGGAAAGACGGACTCCTCACAAAGCGAATAACATAAAAAGGAAATATGTGAAGATCTGGAAATGGTACCGCTGTAAGGTCTGAACAGGAACACCTCCCTCCCTCTTGGCTAAGTTTCCACCCAGTATCTGTTACCTAGGTAACTGTCAGACCTGGAAGCAGTCACCTTCCCCTCCTGCTAGGTCACATCCTGGACCACCTCTGGTTACATGCCTCCCATCTGACCTTAGGAGGGTCCTAGACCCTGAGGTCACATCCACATCCAGTGTGGCCACACCTTTCTCCCACCTGGCCACACCTCTTCCTGTCCCTGGCCTAGATAAGTCCCGGCCCAGAAGTGGGTTGTCCCCTTCACCCCCTCTCCTTCCTTTTTCAGCTATGCTTCTCCGCTGTGCATGGCCGAAGCTGCAGTTGGGTAAATAAACTTCTTTTCCTGCCTGAATACTGCGTGGTGTTCTCTTTTTCGGCTACTTAATGAAACCTACCTATTTAATAGACCTTACAACCACAAACTGCGCTGTGGTAGCTTCCAGATACTATCAATTGCATTCGTTAGGGTTCTGGGAAACCCAACAGGGACAATTGATTCACAAAGTAATATAATTAGACGTAATTATTTCTATGTCAGTGACTGCTCAAAAGATGGTATCTACTGTAATTATTGATAACTGGAGCAGGTGAGGCCTCAACACTGGGACCAAAAAATATTTGGGAGCAGCCTTGTTACTTAAGCACAGAATGGCATGCTCTAACTTCGCAATTTTCTTTTTTTTTTTTTTGGGTCCGATCGTGAGGCCTGAACTCTGGGCCTGGGCGCTGTCCCTCAGTTCTTCAGCTCAAGGCTAGCGCTCTACTACTTGAGCCACAGCGCCACCTCCGGCTTTTTTCTTTTTGCTTATGTGGTGCTGAGGAATCGAACCCAGGGCCTTAGGCATGTAAGGCAAGCGCTCTACCACTGAGCCACCTTCCCAGCCCCCTTCGCAATTTTCTTTAAAAACCACACCTGTTTCACAAATGCAAAAAAAAAAAAAGTGGATTATTTGCATTTTTGTCTTTCCCTTCATAACCTTCAGCTTCAGTTTTACACTCAGCAAATTCCTCAGTGACTCAAGGATTTTAATTATTTTTATTTCACTTTTTTTTTAATTGAAATGCAAGAGATCAAGCCCGAGAACATGTGTATGCTAAGCAAGCATTCTATCCTAGGGTTTTTTTTTTGTTGTTGTTGTTTTGTTTTTTGGTAGAGTCACTCTAACCCAGACTAGACTTGAACTTTTTTCCCCCCAGCATTGGGGCTTGAACTCAGAACCTTATACCCTTGGCCTTTTTTACTTTTGGCTAATGCTCTACCATGAGCCACAACTCCACTCCTATTGTGTGTGTCTGTTTAGCAAAGAGAGAAGGTACTGGGCCTTGAACTGAAGGCCTGAGCACTGACTCTTAGCTTTTTTGCACTTTTATACTCTTTTTTTTTTTTTTTGCCGGTTGTGGGGGGCCTGAACTCTGGGCCTGGGTGCTGTCCCTTGGCTCTTCAGCTCAAGGCTAGCGCTCTACCACTTGAGCCATAGTGCCACTTCCGGCTTTTTCTGCTTATGCGGTGCTGAGGAATCGAACCCAGGGCCTCATGCATGCAAGGCAAGCGCTCTACCACTGAGCCATCTTCCCAGCCCACTTTTATACTCTTAACAGCTCTACTTCCTGGCCTCTCCCTCTTCTTCCCCCCCCCCCATCGTGGGGGCTGAATTTTGGGCCTGGGCGCTGTCCCTCAGCTCTTCAGTTCAAGGCTAGTGCCCTACCACTTGAGCCACAGCACCACTTCTAGCTTTCTTCTGCTCATGTGGTGCTCAGGAAACAAACCCAGAGCCTCATGCATGCAAGGCAAGCGCTCTATCACTGAGGCAACTTCCCAGCCCAGCCTCTCCTTAAGTGCCACCTATATCCTGTGCTTTCACTGATCCTTTATTTTTTGGTCAGTCGTGGGACTTGAAATCTGGGTCTGGGCCCTGACCCTGAGCTCTTCAGCTCAAGGCTAATGTTCTACCACTTGAACCACAGCACCACTTCTAGTTTTCTGGTAGTAAATTGGAGATAAGAGTCTCATGAACTTTCCTTCCCTGGCTGGCTTTGAACCATGATCTTCAGATTTCAGCCTCCTAAGTAGCCAGGATTACAAGCGTGAGCCACAAGCACCTAGCTTCACTGATCTTTTTAATATCTAGAGTTTGATTATTTGGACTTTGCCAGAAAACCACACAGACATGCAGGTACAGAGAACAAAGAAAGGTTTATTTCTGGGAAAGGGGCTGGCAAGACCCCTTCTCACAAGGGAGAAGTGAGAAACAGCACTGGCTATTGTCTGAGGTGACCCATAAAACCTAATAGGTTTAGGAGGGGCTAAAAGGGGTAAAGGGGTGGAGACCCCAGTGTGGATGTGAGGGCCAAGGGCTTCATCATGGATTTATGGCTGCTGCCCAAATAGTAGATAAGGGGCCCTGCAGCTGCCCAGACCACCACAGAGGAGTACCATGCCAAGGTAAAGGGGTTTGGAGGCTGATTATATACTGCCTTTACTAAATGGGCTAGTGGTCCCTAGGAAGGGAGCATGCTAAGCTGTGGAGAGGGGAAGGAGCTTACTAAGCTATGGGAAAGGAGCTCATTGGGCTAACAACTAGAGAACTTTAGTTTAGATCTGGCTTTGAGATTTCTGCATCAGATGTTCCCTAACACTGCTTCTAGTCCTGATTCATGAAGTACAACTGCAGTAACAGGGGTAGGGGTTTAGGAGGTTATACTCAGGGGAGTGGAGCAAACAGGACAACAGGTGAGCTACAGATAAAACCACATCAAGGGAAGCATGGCTGGAAATAAATCCAGCTGAAGAAGTCAGGCCACCGTGGAATATAACTAATGATCTTTCCTAGTCAGAAACTTCCTGCCTACAATCCCAGGAAAAAGATTAAGAGAGATGGGGCAACATTAGGCTACTAAAGGTGTTGTACTAGGTGCTTTGGTCAGCTCAATTTCTTCCCCATTGAAGTCTTGCCTTTCCAAGAACAAAGGGGGCTTGGGAAACCAAACACCCTTTCTGTCTATAATGGGGTTCTGTCTGCCGATCAGAATTGCGTTTCTAAACCTATTTGTTGTGCTGTAAAGCAATGGAATAAATCTGGACTCCAGTGCAATTCAGCTTCTATGATTGAAGTAGGAATGGTAGAACAGCTACCACACAACAGGAGGGGGGGAGGGAGAAGGAACTAAGACAAGAGTTCTTGACAGGAGCCAGGTGCCAGTGGTTCATGCATGTAAGCCTAACCACTAAAGAGACTGAGATCTGAGGACAGCCCAAAAGTCCATGAGCCCCTTATTGTTAGGTTTTTAAAAAGAGGTAGCAGAGTAAGAACAGCAGCATGCACGTGGTATTCAGGTAAGGGGTAGGTTTATTCATTGTTCTGGCTGGCACCAGGCCATGTTGGCCCTCCATGGGGGTAGGAAAGGCCTGGGAATGAGAGCTGGGAAAGAGAAGAGAGAGCTGGGAAAAAGGAAAGAGCTGGGAAAGAGAAGAGACGGAAAGAGCTGAGAAAGAGAGAGAGAGAGCATCTTGGCCTGGGCTAGGCGTTTTCGAGGGTTTGCGGGGAAGAAAGGTGTGGCCACATCAAATTCAGATGTGACCTCAGCAGATGCAGATGTGACCTCTTCCAGGTGTCCCAGTTGCCTAGGTAACGCAGGTACTGGGTGGAGACTTTGCTGCGGGGAGGGTGGAGTCTGCTAGCCATCCAGGAGTGGACCTTACACTTATGTCCAACTAACCACTTAAAAAGAAAGAAAGAAAGAAAAAAAATCTGGAAGTGGAGTTGTGGCTCAAGTAGTAGAGTGCTAATTGAATGAAAAACCTTGAATGAAAAACTTCAGGGACAGTGTCCAGGCCCCCGAGTTCAAGCCCCAGTTGGCACACTACAAACATGAACAAAAAACTGAAAACAAAACAGGAAACCAAACACCCTGAAAGTTAAGGACACATTAACTCAGTATACCAGGACTATTTCTTCAGACTCCAATCAAACTTAGGACTGCTAGCACAGAGCCTGGCCTACCATAGGGTGCCTTTTACTCTTCTTTTACTTTTCATTAATAAATCTCCTGCTTTGGTCTCCTGTGTTCCTCTTTGAATTCCTCCCCTCCCCCCCCCCAACTTTATGATCCCAGGACATCCAGCAACACAGTTCCATGATAGTTTTCACCTCTGGTCATACTGCAAGGAAGGAATTCAAAGTGAGAACTCAGAGAAAGTGCTGGGTGAGCGAGACTGCAATTGGAAATAGGATGCTTAGTATAGATGGCACCAGAGTGAATACATGACCCATGCCATGCATCACAGGTTAACTGTGAGTCCCCAAACCTCGGGGCAGGGAGCTGTGCCCCAATGGGAAAGCAAGGGGCGCTGGGAGAGGGTGAGACATGCTCTTTGTCACACAGCAAATCAGGGGGAGTAGAGGCTGGAACGAAGATTCACGATTTCCTCTAGATAGTGTGTTTAAGCAGATGACTAAACAGAGGAACCAATCCAAAAGAGCCCTATGAACCCTATACCAGATTTCACTGGCTTATTTTATTTTTTGGTGCCAGTTCACGGCTGGCACTCCACCACTTGAACCCCAGATCCATTTCCACCTTTTTGCTGGTTAATTAGAGGTAGGAGTCTCAGGGACTTTCCTGATCCTGAACCACGATCCTCAGATCTCAGCCTCCTGAGTAGGATTACAGGAGTGAGCCACCTTCGCCCTAGCTGAGTTTAACCTTTTCTAGCCACTTCTACCCCGCAGGCGATGCATCCTCCCACGAATCCAAACCAGGCCCTTTAGGCTCCAACCTCCCTGGACCCCCGGGGGGGGGTCAGCCATCTTTGGTGTGGCATTCCTCCTGGGTCTTCGCTCAGTGTGGCTGCACTATTCAGGCCTCTGCTCCTAGATTCACAACATCCTAGGCCGGCATCCTTCGAAAAGTTCCTAGTTTGAAGAGAAAGAAAAAGTGTAGTTTGAAGAGAAAGAAAACGTTAAGTGGGCCTCGACCTTCTTATCATGGCTACTTCTGTCTGCCTGCCGGAGGCACCGGGGAGACTTCCGGTTTCCCAGCATGCCCGAGCGAAACCGGATTTCCGGTCTTGGGAGGGAGGCGCCGAGTGTTCCTCTCGCTCTCTTCCCCGGTGTTCTCGAGCGCCGTAGCCATGTCTTATCCCGCTGATGACTACGAGTCTGAGGTAATGTGGCCGTAAGCGCGCGGTGGGCTTCGCGGCCGGGGGAGGGTTCTGTGGGTGCTGGGCCCCGGAGCGAGGCGGTGTCCGGAAGCTCTCGCGGGCGGAGCCCCCCTCGGGCCTGCCCGCCTGCGGCCCTCGTGCAGCCGCCGGCCCCAGCGCGCCCTGGGCGCGGCCCCTCCGGCTCGGCCTCCCCTTGCCCAGGCCGAGTAATGGGGCTTCGCGTTTCTACCCGAACTCTTCGGATCGGTGCCCGGTCTGGCCCTAAGTCTCTGAGGATGCTCCGTTGTATCCATCAGGTGGCAGCGCCGAAGTCTTTGGTCGCAGACAGGTGAATTCCTCCAAGGTGGAGACCTGTGTATCATTTGAGTTTGTTGTCTTTCGCCCCCGGCTTTGTATTTACGCTCTAGGACGAGCATTTGGGGTTTTTGAAGCGGTGACTGTCCCCCTGACCATGTCCCTTTCCTTACAGGCTGCTTATGATCCCTACGCTTACCCAGGCGACTATGATATGCACACAGGTGAGACCACGGGCCTGGCTGCCGGGCTGAGGCCTGTAGGGATTGGCGTCTTTTTGAATGTCTCACAACCACCTCTGACAGCCAGCTGTCAGAAACTCTGCTTCTTTTATGTTGGCGGTATTGAAGTTTGAACTCGGGGTCTCAGAGCTGGTAGGCAGGCAGTCTGCTATTTGGGCACATCCCCAGCCTCCTAATTGCTTTTTTAAAAATCATGTTTTGGGGCTGTTAGTGGTACAGTGGGTTCGATTCCTCAGTACCACATAAACAGAAAAAACCAGAAGTGGTGCTGTGGCTAAAAGTGGTAGAGCACTAGCCTTGAGCACAGAGAAGCTCAGGAACAGAGCTCAGGCCCTGAGTTCAAGCTCCAGGACCAGCAAAAAAAAAAAAAAATCATTTTCTTTTTTGCTTATGTGGTGCTGAGCAATCGAACCCAGGGCCTCAGGCATGCAAGGCAAGTGCTCTACCACTGAGCCACCTTCCCAGTCCCCCCCCCAAAAAAAAAAAATTAAATCATGTTTTCTTCTACTACACTCCCTTGTTTTTATAGGTACGCGAGGTTTTTTTGGGTCCGGTTGTGGGGCCTGAACTCTGGGCCTGGGCGCTGTCCCTCAGCTCTTCAGCTCAAGGCTAGCACTCTACCACTTGAGCCACAGCGCCACTTCTGGCTTTTTTCTTTTTGCTTATGTGGTGCTGAGGAATGGAACCCAGGGCCTCAGGCATGCAAGGCAAGCGCTCTACCACTGAGCCACCTTCCCAGCCCTATAGGTACTCGAGTTTTAACTCAGGGCGTCAAACTTGTTGGGTAGGGGACTTTACCACTTCAGCCACACCTCCAGCACTAAACACATATTTTTTCTTGGTCCAGGTTTGGAGTTAGTTATTATCTGTGAGTGGGAAGAGTTGTGTAGAGCCTAATAAAGCATAAAGCAGGCTTTTCACTTATTTATATTGTACTGGTACTGGGGCTTGTAGGGTTTGGGCACCGTCATGTAGCTTTTTTTCTTTTTTTTTTGCTGAAGTATGGTGCTTTACCATTTGAGCCACAGCTCTACTTCCAGCTTTTTGGTGGTTAATTGAAAATAAGAATCTCATGGACTTTCCTGCCTGGACTGGCTTTGAATTGAGAGCCTCAGATCTCAGCCTCCTAAGTAGCTAGGATTATAGGTGTGAACAGTCCTCTTTCTGTGGTTCACCTCAGTCTGAAAAGAGAAGAGTTACTGCTATTTTTTTTTTTTTTTTTGTCTGTTGTGGGGCCTGAACTTGGCCTGGGTGCTGTCCCTCAGCTCTTGATCTCAAGGCTAGTGCTCTACCACTTGAGCCACAGAAAAGCCACTTCTGGCTTTTTCTGCTTATGTGGTGTTGAGGAATCGAATCCAGGGCTTCATGCATGTAAGGCAAGCAGTCTACCACTGAGCCACCTTCCCAGCCCCACTGCTAAATTTCTTTCTTTCTCTCCCTTCTCTCTCTGTTTCTCTCTCTCTGTCTCTCTTTCTCTTTCTTCCTTCCTGTACTGAGGATTGAACCCAGTTCTTTGTACATGTTAGGCAAGTACTCTACCACTAAGCTGCACTCTTAGACTTCCTTGTTCAAACTCCTAGCTGATAAAGATTTTTGTGTTTTGTTTTGGTGCTAGGAATTGAACCCTTTGCCTTTTGCATGCTGAAGGCATACCCTGTTTCTGAGCTCCAACCTAGCCCTGAAGAAAATTTTTTTTTTTTTGGCCAGTCCTGAGGCTTGAAATCAGGGCCTGGGCACTGTCCCTGAGTTTCTTTTGTTCAAGGCTATACGCTACCATTTGAGTCTCACTGCCACTTCGGGCTTTTTCGTTTATGTGGTACTGAGGAATCAAATCCAGGGCATCATGTATGTTAGACAAGCAGTCAACCACTAAGCCACATTCCCAGCCCAGAAATCTCTTTTTTTTTGTCTGAAACTGGGACTTGAACTTGATACCTGACACTTTTGCTCTTTTCTACTGACTGAGCTACATCTCCAACCCATGAGGAAGAAAATCTTTATGTGACATTTTTAAGTGATTCAAGCCAAGCCCAAATAAAATCTCCGGGAGGCTTTTGAAGTTTCCAGAAATATTATAGTCTTGGCTTGACTTAATATTGTACGTTATTCTGGATACTTTATATGAAATGCATCATTTCGTTTAATCTTTAGAAAAGTTCCAAAAAGTATATATACTGATGTTGTTTCCTAAATGTACAAAACTGAGCTGACAGACTTGCCACAGCCATCTAGTTAGAATATGGCAGCTCTGTATTTAATATTATAAGCTGTTACCATTTCCCACAGTTTCCACCCCTTCAGCATGTAACTCTTCTCAGATGCTAGGTCCCAGTGCCTCACACCTGTAATCCTAGCTACTCAGGAGGTTGCAATCTGAGGCTTGCAGTTGAAGCCAGCCTGTTCAGGAAAAATCTATGAGACTCCAATTAACCACCAAAAGGCTGGAAGTGGAGTGAGAGAACACTAACTAGTCTTGAATGAAAAAACTAAGGACAGTGCCCAGGTCCTGAGATCAAGTTCTAGTACCAGTACGAAAAAAACAACAAGCTTCTAGGTTCTGAATACAAATATATCTGTGTACAAGTTAGATGAAGTTCTTTATTTCAAAGACTTTTTAGTTTCTACAGGACCAAACAGGTAGCAAGTAAGAAATAGCTGTAACTAATGATAATTAGTTCTGAAGAAACAAGAGCAAAGGGATTGCAAGTGACTTGGGGAAAGTTTAAAATTGTTTAAAAGAGAATGTGCTGGAATGGATGACACTGAGGTGTGTTATACTCATAAACTGACACATACTGCGTTGAAACCCCTTTGTGTGAACAAAAAAAGGAAAGGGAATTTAGGGCTGGAGATGTCGCTAAAATGGTAGAGTACCTGCCTAATAAGCATGAAGCCCAAAGTTCACGTTCTAGTACTGAAAAATAAATGAAAGGGATTATAGTTTTTATGAATGTGAATTTGGACATTTTGGGGAAAGGGCAATATTGGGGTTGAACTCAAGGCTTCTTGCTTACTAGCTCTTGTTTAGCACTGGTTATTTGCCTGGACCATGACTATTTTTCACTTCCTACCATTGCTAGGATGACAAACATGTACCACCATGCCTGGTTTCTTCCACTAAGATGGAGTCTTAGCTAAGTGCTGGTGGCTCACACCTGTAATCTGCCTACTTAAGAAGCTGAGGGGGGCGGATGGATAGGGGAAACAAAGGAGGAGGCTACAATGCTTGATAAGAAATGTACTCATTATCTTGCCCATGTAATTGTAACCCCTCTGTACAGTATTTTCACAATTAAAAAAAGAAAAGAAAAATGACAAGCCCACATT